TCTTTTCATTTCCCTTACAGGCTCAGTGGAGTTAGACATCCCTGCACAGGTAAGGTAAGTAACTCTTGAAAGGTTTTGTGGGGAACTTCTACCATCTTCTCTACTCTCTAGTAACCTACTGCATTAAAAACTACTAGAAGACACTCAGAAATTTTGTTTAGGTAAAAAAAAAAAGTTGACTCCCTAAAACTGGGATCTGTCAACAAAATAGTGTGACCTTATATATCTTCCAAAATTATTCACATTTATACACTCCATACCATGACATTTTTTTATTACAAGCAGAATATTTTAAGGCTACTTAGAAATGTCCCTCTCATCACCTGACTTTCATATAGGCACCTCAATACTCATCAATCAGTTATACCACCCCCCCCCCCAAAGTTTATCCTATTACTTTAAGAAAGACAATCCATTTTGTTTTGTTTTTTTTTCAGTAGAAAGTTTATTTTTTTTTCCAGTCATATTTTTTTCATGAAAAAAAAATTACAAAAAAATAGCAATTGTTTAAACAGCCAAGCTTAACTATATAACTTTGTGACCAAAAAACACATAGTACATACACTTAGCTGCGAGTGCAGCCACTTTACAAGAGGTCGTGCAGAGTTATGAAATATACAAAGGCACAGCTAGGACAGACTGCTTGGGAGCACAGCTTGTGTCACCGCTTCACTACTCACCACTACTAACACAAGATAAATTGGCTTGCACAAGTCACCTCTACAACATAGTTATTCACAGGTATGATAGGTAGTTTCTTGAAATTTAGGTAGACGGTTTGTAGGCATTCAGACAGTTACACTACACAAACACATAGAGCGATTTTTTTTGTTTGTTTTTGTTTTCTGCAAATTGAATGCAACATAAAACAGAACATTTTAACAAACATTTTTTTTTGTGTGTTCTGTTACTTCAAGTAACACATAGCGCTTTACATACTCAAATAAGTTAAAACATTTAAAATTGTCAAGACATAGCCATTCAAAATAAAACATATACATAAAGCATCTGTAGCTATAACCACCCAGCATAGGGGCTCATGGCTAAGATAGGAAGGGAGGGGGGACATGGACGGGGGTATTTCTTCACAGAAGTCACACACAAGAGAGTTCTAGAAAGTCTATGGTGACAATTCTAATACTGGACCAGTACTTTCATAGAACAGACATACTAAGGACGAAAAGCCCCTCCTGCTGCGGCCATGCTCATACTTTTCAGCTTGTTATCCTTTTTCCATTTCATCCTTCTGTTCTGAAACCAGATTTTAATTTGTCTCTCAGATAGGCAAAGGGCATGGGCTATTTCAATCCTCCTTCGGCGTGTCAGGTATCTATTAAAATGAAATTCCTTTTCCAGCTCCAGTGTCTGGTAGCGTGTGTAAGCTGTTCTAGCCCTTTTTCCCTCAGGTCCCCCTATGTTATCTGCAAATGAAAAAAGGAGAGTTAGCTGAACCAGAAGCAGTCTTCACATAGATTTCTGCTTTTTTTTTTTTAAACTAGAACTGAATAACAAGTAGACAGAAGTATAAAACAGAGAGTTATATTGTGGCGAGTTGAAGCAGCATGATGAATTTTAAATGCAAGCAAGCAGACAAAAGTGTAAAAAATAGGGTTTTATTGGTGCAAGTTGAAGCAGCATGCAATGATGGATTTTAAATACAAACATGCAGACAGGAATGTAAAAATTGAGCTTTACTTTTATTGGTGCAAGTTGAAGAAGCATGATGGATTTTAAATGCAAACAGGCAGACAGAAGTATAAAAATTGAGTTATACTTATATTGGTTCAAGTTGAATCAGTATGCAATGATGAGATTTAAATGCAAGCATGCAGACAGAAGTTTAAAATAAAAAAGAGTTATATTGGTACAAGTTGAAGCAGCATGCAATGATGAGTTTTAAATGCAAGCATGCAGACAGAAGTTTAAAAGAAAAAAGAGTAATATTGGTACAAGCTGTAGCAGCATGCAATGATGAGTTTTAAATGCAAGCATGCAGACAGAAGTGTAAAAACAGAATGATACTTATATTGGTTCAAGCTGAAACAGTAATGTCTTTTAAATGCAAGCATGCAAATTAAAATAAAGAACTGGCTGAACCAGAAGCAGTCATCACATAGGCTTCTGATTTGTACTAAGTAGACAGAAGTATAAAGAAGAGAGTTATATTGGTGCAAGTTGAAGCAGCATGCAATAAAGTATATTAAATGCAAGCATGCAAATTAAAAAGGAGAATGAAGTGAACCAGGAGCAGTCATCACATAGGTTTCTGATTTTTAACAAGTAGACAGAAGTATTACAAATGAGTTCTATTGGTGCAAATTGAAGCAGCATGCATTGAGGTATTTTAAATGCAAGCATGCAAATTAAAAAAGAGCATAAACTGAACCAGAAACAGTCATCACAGGTTTGTGATTTTTACTACAACAAGTAGACAGAAGTATACAAAAGCTACAGTTATATTTATTTTGGTTCAAGTTGAAGCAGCATGCAACAATGTATTGTAAATACAAGCATGCATTATTAAAAATGTTCCACTTATGTATCAACTTTCCAGCAGCCTAACACCTTTCAGTCCCATAAAATATCATAGACAGCTAGGTGTAGATGACTTTAGAGACTCCTGTGACACTGCATCGTGTGGCAATAAAAATTAGGTTAAGATCCTCATACTGTTCTAGACATATTCAAAAGGTTAAGATGTGGTCATAAAACTGTCTCTAGCCATTATATCGCCTGGAAGTTGGATTCTCCCACCCCTTTTTTCCCTATATGTATTCCCTTTTTTTTTTTTATGGCAGGTCGAGATTTTTTATTTACCATGACTTATGTGCAGTTTTCTCATCCAGGGGTAGATCTGGGGCTGGACCGATGGAGCTGGGCTCTGTCCGTTCTGGGAAGTTGTCTGGTCGCTGCTGGCTGGGGTGTCATCTTCAGCACCAGAAGAAGAAGCCCCCAGCCCTTCTCTGTTAATGTGGCTGCTGTTACTATTGCTGGTGGTGCTGGAATTGGACGTGGTGCTGTTTGAGTTAGAGTTTAGAGAGTTTTTCACTCCTTGGTGACTCTCGCTGACAGGCGGGGTGGACACAGCAGCGCAGGGGAGGGGTCAGGTGGAGGAGAGTGTGAAGAGGTTGCAGGTTGGTTATACCTTGGCTCTGTAGAAGAACTTGGGTTGGACGGATAATTTCTTGCTCTGTCATTGGCACTAAAGTGGTTGGAAGCAGATCGCCCAACGCTGAGATCCATGCCATTGTAGCCGTAGCCGTACCTGCTGGAATGCATGCTTGCTGAATCCCTGTATTGCTCGTTCACCGAGCTGTGATCTCCATAATTATGTAACTGGTAGTCCGGGCCATTTGGATAGCGACCGCAAAATGAGTTTACAAAATAAGAGCTCATTTGTTTTTTGATATGTGTGCTTGATTTGTGGCTCTTGGTCGTTTTGTGCGTCTATAGCACCCTTGCACAATTTATGATGAATTATGGAAATGACTGGGACATGTACTTGGTTCCCTCCTACGTAGGCACCCAAATATGGGGTACGACTTGGAATCACGTGCTTTTGTTGTCCAGTCGTAAATCCTGCCTGATGACCTCTAGAGGTAAACTGGTGTATTAGTGGGGGAGCTGGGAGGATGCTGACAGGAGCGAGCATTTCAAGCGCGCTCCCGCGGCAGGCTGGAGACTTTTGTTCAGACTCTAACGCCACCGTCTGGACGTTTAGCCGTCACTACAAGCTCGACAGCAAGCTGAGGACTGCAGGGCCGGGGTCGAATTGAGGTTACATCCCATTACAGAAAAATTATTGCATTCCCCCTCGCAGTTCCATTAGTGAATACCAAATGTACCGGCTCACAGCCACAGTTCACAAACCAGCATATTAATACCGAAATATTGCACAAATGGTACTGTTTTTTTTTTGTTTTTTGTTGTTTTTTTTTGCTATTCCCTCCAAAATATATTTCACATTTCATCATCTAGATTGCCAGCTCATGTGTTCCCTTATATTTTATTGATAATTATACAGAAATAGCCATATTGATTCAGTGAGGCGACATAACAGACACTTTCAATACTGCTACTGCCCTTTTTTTTGCAATTGATGTGAACCAGATCTGTGTTTTAGACTGCATAGGTTTTATTTTATATTGGCATTGCCACTTAAAACGTCATTTTCCAGTCAATGCAATATAGTAAAATGCCAGTGTGTACATAGAAACTAAATCATGCAGGAAGCTTTATTTAACACTCATAAAACGCCTGCACCTTGTCTGTCGCAGGGCTTGAAGGAACAGTCCACTGTCCCAATGCAAGGTGTAAGCATTTTATAAGTCAATAACCCGCACTTCATATTTCTAGATCTCCTATATTTGGGGGTTAGCCTTTGCCCACGTTTATTTCGGAAATACTTGACAAATCAGGCTCTCTTGTTGAGCCTTTTCTGCTTTTTCCTTTCAAAGAATAAAACGAGGTCTTTGCCTTGCAGTCCCAGCCAGCAAACAATGAGTGGCTGTAAATATTATTGTGACTTTTACGATACAGCTGACAGTTACATTCTGTTCACAGACTCCAGAAAACAGGATGACCCCGCTATTCCGGATCCTTCTTTTTCCTTCTTTTTTTTTGTGCATTTTTTTCCAAGATCCCATTCGTCTGGACATCTGTTTACATGGCAGATATGACACCACAATCTAGAATCTGACTTTAATCCGTTATCAGAACACAGATTACATTGGCTTTGTAGGGTGGAGTAAGATTTAGGACTGATATCCGACATCAATGGCTCAAGTACATACACAAATTAAATCGATCTGTACAGGTATTTTTTTTTTTTTGTACATGAAAATGGTGTGCATGCATTTATTATCAGATAAATGGTCCCGGGGTTTTCAGTCACTGTGAAGGAGAATGAGGGTGGAAATGAACATGAAGCCTTTGTATAGTATGTGGCATGTGTGCAGATTAGAGGACGATATTCACGTGAATAGAGGAGAGGCCTGGTGTTAACTTTCATTGACTGGCTTGTCCTCTGCTGGGTCGCTGTTGGGTTGGGAAGAATTAATAATCTTGCTTTCTTTCTTCCATTTCATTCTCCTGTTTTGAAACCAAATTTTAATCTGTCGTTCTGTGAGGCAGAGAGCATTCGCTATTTCAATCCTCCTCCTCCTGGTCAGGTATCTATTGAAATGGAATTCTTTCTCCAGCTCTAAAGTCTGATATCTAGTATAAGTTTGTCTTCCCCTCCTGCCGTGGCTGCCGTACACTGTACCTGGAAGACAGCAGCAATAAGACATCATACAGCGATATGTGATTCAAGGAAAAGACACTCAGACTATGCAATCAGCACCTTATACTGGGCGAGCCCAGAGCCCCCTGACCTGCTACAAGCCAGGACAGCTATCACAATTATTGACTGATGCAGAATACAACGGTGCCACACCTGGAAAATTCAGAGTATTTTTTTCTGTTTTTCATAAATTATAAACAATGTGTAATATTAAATAATTATCTATATTTGGCACCAGTAGCACATAAATATCTGAGAGGTAACATTTAAATAGCTAATAAAGTATCCTGTAAATATGCATGACCTAAAGATGTAAAAAATTGAAAATTCCTTCTCTAGTACAGCAGATGCTTCATATCTTCTAATCTGCTTGGAGCCCTGTATACACACATTTGTTCCATCACAGTACAAAGCGTGTGTATGTAATGTATGAATTTAAAAATGATCTCTCTCGATAGATAGATAGATAGATAGATAGATAGATAGATAGATAGATAGATAGATATCGTACACTAAATGTAAAGAGAGAAAGGGAGAGTGAGATTACAGATGTTCAAAGCTGCCTGTAACTACACACACACTGTGTGTAACTACACACTACACACACACACTGGCTGAAAAAAAGACAAAAGTCCATCCAGTTCAACCACTAAAAAAAAAATTATAATCCTATACCCCAGTTGATCCATATATATAGATAGATATATAGATATAGGCAGGTGTTTTTATTTATTTCTAATCACACACACACACACTATATATATATATATATATATATATATATATATATATAAGGTACTTGGGTACTTGGGTGTCCGTTTATGAACCAGCAGTTTGGTATGTTGAAAGTCTCACATAGAATTTTTTACTTTGTGAGTTCGTGTGTGTTGTTCCAAGTCTCTTTCTTTTCTTTCTTTCTTTCTTTCTTTCTCTTTCTTTTCTTTCTTTCTTTCTTTCTTTCTTTCTTTCTTCTTTCTTTCTTCTTTCTTTCCTTTCTTCTTTCTTTCTTCTTCTAGCTCTCTCTAGCTCTCTCTCTCTCTCTCTCTCCCCCTCCCTCTCTCTCTCTCTCTCTCTCTCTCTCTATATATATATATATATATATATATACATATCAATAGATAGATAGGTTAAAAGACATGTAGATATATATATAACTGTATAGCTATATATATAATCACACAATATCCTCCTTCTCTCTCACTCCTTCTATCTATCTATCTATCTATCTATCTATCTATCTATCTATCTATCTATCTATCTATATGTCAGATGGATAGATAGATAGATAGATAAATAGATAGATAGATAGGTAGATAGATAGATAGATAGATAGATAGATAGATAGATAGATAGATAGAGATGTATAGGTAAATACAGATATAGATATATAACTGTACAGCTATATATATAAATCACACTCTAGCTCCTTCTCTCTCTCTCTCTCTCTCTCTCTCTCTCTCTCTCTCTATATATCTCCTCTATAATCTTCTCTATATATATATAAATATATTATATTCATATATATATATATATAATCACACTCTAGCTCCTTCTCTCTTTCTCCCTCAATCTCTCTATATATATATCTACATATATATATATATAATAATCACACACATATATATATTTATATATATGCAACAACGTTAAACACAAGCACACAACACTTTGTACTATAATGTATATATATATATATATATATATATATATATATCAAGACAAAATAATAAATGTGTGTTCAAAGCTACCTGCAACTATATATATATATATTTATGTATGTGTACAGTAGATATATATAGTTGAAAGTAATAATTCTGCATCTTAATTTCCCCATATAAAAGTGAAAGCAATATGTCTAAACACTCAGTCTGTTCAGTGCTTCTTTGTAGTGTTTTAATTTTTTCTTTAAAAAAAAACCCACACAAACAGAATGTCATGTCTGACCCCCTGTTTGTCCCCAGCCTGTCCTCAGAGGTCTGCTCTGTTTCTGCATAAATTAGTGACTTACCAGCGCAGGAGTTGGCTCTCTGCATCCAGGGGTAGACAGGGTTACTATACTTCCGGTCGTTAGTTTCCTCATTGAACATTTTACCTTGTAGATTAGTAGATTTGTATTGCTGGTCAGTAGAGAAATGCAGATAATCCCCAGTATGGGACCTCTTATTGGTGGGATACGAGGAAGGGTTGGCGGTGCTGTCCTTGTCCGGATAGAAACAAGACGTCCCATAGTCATAAGAGTTTCGGTTGCAGGCAATAACTGTACTGGACTGCTGATAGAAGCAGGGCGATGAGTAGGACTTGTCCTGAAGGGGAGATGTCCCATAAGAACCTGGAAAATGTCTTAAAGCTTCATAGCCCGTGAGTAGAGGGGAATTTGACCCACAAACGAGTCCTGTCCATTAGGCAGGCTCCCAGGGAAAGTGCTATTCACAAAGTAAGAACTCATTTGCTCTGCACTCGCTAGTTCTGTGATTTGTTGTGTATTAGTACATCTAGCTATAACTATTAGTAGTCATCGAACTGGTTTGTTTCTGGATGGCCAGGCGCCAAAAGCGACAGAGGCAAATATAAGCAGCTGATCATTCAGTAGCCAATAGGAAGGAGTTATGATGGTGCTCCCCTGGGACTGGGACTGAGCCAGCAAACTTCCAAATAACACACAGCTTCCCAGGCACATATACAACAGTAATATACACATCTTATTGCACAGAGAGCAATTAGTACTCTTTTGAGTTAAATCTCTTTGCATGCTGTTCAACTAGATCAGTCACTAAAGCATTTGCTATTATACCTGCTAATATCTGCAGTTGAACCCATAGGTGCAAAATTAATTTGTATCAACACAATACACACTTGCAGTCACTCAGCACACAACCAAGGACAGCAGAAGTAGGAAAATATCTCTGCAGACATTAATACACATGAATGAACATCTCTAGTGTGGCTATTATAAAAGATAAATCAACATAATTCACCAGCCTCTAATTAGTGTTTACACTTCATAATGTCCTTGCCATAGTGGGAATATATCAATAAGCATTATATCTCAACTGACGTCTCTCATTTGAAGTTTAAACAGCCACATAAAGGAAGACAACAGCTAAGTAAACAATGATAAAAAAAAAAACAACACCTCATATGTTACATTGTAGTTATTTGCTAACATAAAGTGCTAGAAATTAATCATTTGTTTTATTTCCACTTTGTGTTTATCTGTTATTAAATACATTTTGCTTTATCTATCACAGAAAAAAGGTTGCAAGAACAGACGTTCTTAATTAGTTAAAATACAGCCCCACATCATGTAAACATAAATAATATGAATGAAATCAAACATTCTGAGTATAAGGCAGGATTAGGCACTAACCCAAAACAAAAACACAGCAATGAAACAACGCCTCCCAAAAAGCAAGTTCAGGCAGAGTTAATTTATAGAAATAGGAATTTCCTTTTGTTTATTGAAATATCCCTGATTCAAAGCATCTCTATAGCTGTTTCTATACCATAAAAACTAAAGAAAGTCTGGGATTTGACTGATAAAAATCTCCAGCCTTCAAAAACCATGAACAACTAGCCTGCAAGCAATTGAAAGTCTAACATAAAGCATCCTCTTATCTGAATGTAGTGTAGAGTTTATGGCCCATACCCTGGAATGAGCCATGTTCCTTCATGGCTCTATAAACTGCTTTAAATTGCTTAAAAGAATGTAAACTTTGATGCTGGAAGACTCTCTAGTAGCACCATTTGCATTAATCACTTACAGGTAAATATTGAAAGGCAGATACTAATAAGTTAAGCTGGCCATGCATTATCCAATTTTCCTATTCAATTTCCTTCATATTTACCTGCAACTATGTAGTGCAAGGGCCTGCCTGATTTCATACAAATTGAAAGTGTTTAGGATTGACCCCATATTATATGGTTTTGGTAAATATAAAGGAAAATTGTACACGATAATTGTGTAATGTATGGCCAGCCTTAGAGAGGTGATGCAACATCCCTTGTTCGGGACCATCAGTGTATTTATAGTGAAATAAGCTGCATAAACACGAACATACATCTATCTGTATACTGCAGAAGTGGAAAAATCTGACAATGGTGTTTTGCACAGGAAGGTCAAACACACCTCTGGTATTTCCTGACATTACATATTTGGATGAGTTTGTGAATATAGAGGCATTTCTGAGCTTGATTGGACGAGGGAGTGTCTGTGGGTGTGTTTGTCTATGTGTCTGTATCTGTGCATGTATAGATGTGTGTGTGTGTATATATATATATATATATATATATATATATATATATATATATATATATATTTATTTTTGTGAAGTGTGGGTACTAAGTTTGTAGTAAAATGTCCCATTCTAGCTCTAAATATTCCAGCACAAAAACGGTCCACAGCCAATCTATAATAAAGTGTATTTTTGTTTTAAATGGCATATTTTCATCCTAGGAATATGGCGAACATGAACTATGATAAAATGCATTAACGATGCAGAAACTGTTACAAATTTCAAAACCCATGAAAAAAAGCAAAACGTGTGCTTATAAATAAATGTACAGTTTGGTTCCCTAACTAGTACTGTAAAATGGGGAGGATATTTGCAGTGAATCTGATTTTGTGGCTTAGCCTTCTGTAGCTATTTTATAAAAAAAAAAAAAAAAAAGGAGAGTAAAGACATACTTTAGGCATGCAATTGTCTGGGGGCCTGTGAAATGTAACAGGGATTTTTCAGGCAGATCAATGGTTAAGGCTCTGCCCCTTCTGTTTCCCTTTTCATCTTGCTTCCAAGCAATAAAATCTGCTTAAACCATTAAATCTTAGGTGCGGCAGCCATTTTGGAGGGAGCATAAAAAGGGCATTCACTGACGTGCCCATTTTGTCTCTTTGTCTTTATTTTGTACGTTTGACCATATATTTCTTTTAATGCAGCCGTTTATAATTGAGTTTATTTTCATTTTTGCGGACTGAATTGAACCATGATACTTACAACATGTATAAATACATAAAAGTGAATTCAAGCTACTACAGAGCTCTTCAAGCCTTTACTTACAGCACATAACATATACAATCAACTTATTACACTTTAAAATCGCCATTTGCAGTTAAAAATACAAATACTGAGGCTTCTGATACATAACAGTGTCTCTGTTAAAATCACAGGTTTTAATGCATACGCAAAAGCATTTAAAAATATTTTCCTCTATCTGTTTAAAAGAAGGAAAAAATAGGCATTTTTATCATCTGCAGTTCTTTATCTGGCTGGGTCCAGAGTAATCTTGTTTCTATTCCAAATCACCCAAATAACCTTCAGTATAATAATGTAAACCTTCTTTCACTACACTGGTAGATACCACCAACCACCACACAGTGGCAGCACTGAAACTACAGTCGACGATCAATCCTCCACTCAATGCAGTCAAGCAGACACTGCAATACAATGCAAATTTTATACTTCATCAGCTAGCAGATCACAACAAACACAGGGACGAGAAGGTGAAATCAGCCAGACATCATTCCTAATTACTGGTCATGAATTTTAGAAAACAAAACAAAAAATAACACGACTTTTCACAAATATTTCCTCCCCTTTTTTCTTTCTAAGCATCTCTAAAGGCAACAATAACAATAATAATACAGTGACTTGTGCCAGATTCACAAATATACACATCTTCAAGTACATTCCTACAGAGCAATTCATTTAATCAGCGTTAACAAAAATTTTTTTCCATTTATTTTGCCAAACACAAGCTTGTTATAACCATACTCCAAAAAAAGCGTTAATATGTAAAAAAAAAATCAACCTTTCTATAACTGCATTCATTCTTCCACATTAAGCATGTATTACCAAAAATGAACAATAAACAGAGTGGAAGCACACGTGCTTCCTTTGGCACTAGTATATCATTACAACATATTTGTTAAACTTGATATATATATATATATATATATATATATATATATATATATATATAGCAAAAGCATGAAGAAAAACAGTAAAATGTATGTACGGGTATTTTATGAACTAAAATATAACAACAAAACTAAAAGTAGAAAGCAGACATGACCACTGTAATTAATACATAGCAATAGTATAACATCATAACCATCATAACCACCATAACATCACAATGCTGAGTTTACATTTCTATTATATACTTATATACTGATGTTCACCTTTGTGTCTAATTGTTCTTACAAATACATAACTCAAGTACACCTTTGTATAAAATGCCTTTATGCAGTATGCTTGTGTACATATATAAGCATGTGTATATAAATACAAATATAGATATATAAATAGGTGTATAGATAGATAAACTAATGCTCAGTAATGTGTCTAATTGTACAAAATGTCTTTATACATTATGTTTGTGTACATATGTATATATGTGTATATGAATACAAATATAGATATATAAATAGGTGTATAGATACATAACTCAGGTACACCTTTGTACAAAATGTCTATATACATCATGTTTGTGTACATATATATGCATGAGTGTATAAATACAAATATAGATATCTCAATAGATATATATATATAAATATATAGGTATGGGAATAGATCTGTTTGGATGTTGAAAAGCTTATATTATTTAGTATTGGTTGTATTAATCGTTTGCAAGCTGATGGGGCAAGGGCATGTGTGATGGACTGATTGATAGTTGTGAAGTAAACAGTAAATAGTTGTGGGGTTTATTTGCAGCAAGCATCAGAGATCACAAGAGAAGATGTGAGGGGTACAGATTTCTCACCTTGACGTTGTGGCTCTCAGGAATCTCTGCCACTTTGACAGCTGTCGCCTTGGCTGAACAGGAGAGGAACCCAGTGCCTTTTGGTGCCAGAAGAAGCAGGAAATTAGCCAGGCTGCGTGTTGAAAATCTGCCACTCTGGCTCTTTGAATCCCAAATGCCACACCTTGGAGCGGAAGGACTGAGCGCTGCCATCCTGGACCTGTCTTGCAGGCTGCTGCTCCATGCGAACCTCCATTGCCTTGCCTGGTGCCTGTACTCAGGACAAATGGGCTGTGTGCTGGAGAGCCAGACAGATCCGAAGCAGGACTGAGCACAGCAAAAGAATGCAGCTCTATTCTCGCAAGGGAAATTATAAAAAAACTTCATGTTCACAGTTGCTATCCACATGACCAGCAGCGACCAATGGAAAAAAACCGAGCAACTCATAAAACTTGTATTGCAAAGTTGTAAATTTTCATAAACAACAACGGATTTATAGCCATTGCCTCATCACTAAGAAGAGGCAGGTCTTACCAAGTCGCCATCTTAACTCTCTAACAACCCCAGCCTCTGCACGCTCGGCTCTTTCATTAAACCAGGCTCTCATTTAAATATTAATTGAATTATTACCTGAAATAGGCTAGTGGAGCTGGCTCCCTGTATACAGGGGAAATAATCACTTCGGATGTACAGTCTGTGAACCCTAATGCAGTGTATGCATTTATTGCCTATACCTTATTAAGAACATATTTTATAATTATTCAGACATTTCCTTATAAGCTCTGTATGATATGTGTATCTGAATTTATACTTTTTTGTAATCACACCTTACACACACACACACCCACACACATACACACTATTTGTTCGGATAGCACTTTATGTTCTCTTTTATCTGTACTGTTTTTTTTGTAAGTTTATTTGTTAATTTATTTCATTTTTTTTGTACACATATTCATGAGAAGAAGAGGAGATCGATGACCAAACACAATTGTCTTTATTGTAAACAAAAAATATATATATTATACCAGATACTTCAACAGAGCTCTTTTATGAAGTTTATTGTACATATTTATTATTTTATGTTTTTATAATGCATAAACAATATGTATATTATTCACAAACAACACTGATCACATCATTTCCAGATGAATGTCAAGCAAAATTTGTTTTTTTTTTTTAAATTTTATTTGCATTTTTTTTACAAGACAAATAACACCATGCTATTATAGATGATTCTTTATGTAAAATGTATCAAATGACGCAGATTTTTATACAAAGGCAGCTTAATACGACAAAACATTAACAACTGTACACAGATACAAATCCCTGGGATACAAATAATGTGGTCACGTTACCTTTCAAATATCAATGCAAACACATTTAAATCTACTACACTTGGGTAAAGAGGGGGATTGCGAATGGAAAAAAAAAGCTGATTTCTTTTCTACTTTTGCACCGGTGCTTAATTCAAATGGTCGTTTAACTATATAAAAATACACACAGTCCTTACTTCACGTTGGTGTGCAAGATTCACAATTTAAATACAATTGTAGCTATTCTACAGAGTTACAGCTGAACACAAAAAAATAGGTAGTTTTGAGTAGGTAGTATAATGTTTTACTGTAGTGGTTGTTATATTGAATAGTTTAATAAAGGTATTTGCTATTTGCTCTTCCTGGAATTTCCTGGCCTTTTATTAGTTAATGAGTAGGTAGTAAAGTCTAATGTACATTGTCGCCCACAATTTATTTGTGGATGTAGGTAGTTAACCAGTTAAACAAAATGTATGTATATGTATATATATATATATATATATATATATATATATATATATATATATATATATATATAAAGGAAGTCTTTTTGTAAGCCATTTTCACATGAAATAATACGCTGCTTTTTTCTTTTCTTGTTCTCTTTTTTTGTCCTTATAGGTTACATCTCATCGGCGTTGTGCTGAAGACGTTGAATGGCCTGCTTTCGGGATTATCAGCTATTTCTTTTACAAAAAGACATCAAATACAGTTCAAATTAATTTGTCCAAGTTGCTTTCTTTTACTGTCCCGTGCAAATCCTGGTTAGTACGTTGCCCCCCCCCCCCCCCCCCCCACCCCCCCATACCCACCCACCTACCCCCCCTCCAGCAGGCACATTATTCTCCCTCTTTCCCCTTGTCCTCATCAGCTGTAGTAGTAGTAGTAGTAGTAGTCGTAGTAGTAGTAGTAGTGCAGGGGTCTGCTCCCCAGCATCAGAGGTACCGCTGTTCTCCTCTTTATGTTCCTTTTTCCATTTCATCCTGCGGTTCTGGAACCAGATTTTGATCTGCCTCTCTGTCAGACACAAAGCATGGGCGATCTCTATCCTCCTCCTCCGGGTTAGGTAGCGGTTAAAGTGGAATTCTTTCTCCAGCTCCAGGGTCTGGTAACGAGTGTAAGTCTGCCGACCCCTCTTCCTGTCGGGCCCTATATATTACACAAGTATTAGTCATGGCTGTGTGTGCCTCATTCTACAATAATCCTATGATACAAAGCAACAAGGCTCAACAAAGGCCTAGCTAACGGAGGCATCTCACCTACCATCTAACAGCCTATTGTGTATTTCCAACCATGCGTATATGGACAAAATATGTACCTTGTATTTATTGATTTATTTGCATTTTTATAAACTATTGCCGGCATATTAGAATAACGATTTCAACAATACATGCATATACTATTTTTAAATAAAAAAAATAGATTAACAAAAAAAAATTGAATACACTGCAAATCATTTGTGCATATGTTCCCCTCTACAAAACTATTTTTTTTGTGTGTAAACGCTCAATAAATAAAATGCTGTGAAATTTGTATTTGGAGGTATACATGCTACAGATGAGGAGCGTTGAAGCCATTAGTGGGTGATAAAAAAGTGTGCAGTGCAGATCTGAACAGAGAGCCATGGCGCCTGCTCTTCTAATTAAATCCATAAAGCTCTGCACTATTACTTGGCTGTTGCATTAATGGCCTTTTGCTAGCATTCCCTCCAGCTTACCCATACCTGAAGACCTCATCCACGGGTAAATGCGGAAATTACTGTCAGCCTGGGAGTGCAGGGTAGAGTCCTCCGCCTTGTCACAGCTGGCTTTGGCCAGGTCATTGCAGAGCACCGGAATGTTCTGATCAAACGAGCAGTGCAGGTTGTAAGCTTCTGAGCCCAGGCTGTATCCAGAAAAAGGGTTCTGATAGAGAGCACTGTTCACATTGTACAGACTGGGCATTGATGGCGGAAAGGCACCGGTGCCGGCTCCATAGCTGCTTCTCTGGGAGTTGGTAGCAAAGGAACAAGAAGTGGCCTCTGTGTTTTGGAAGAGAGAAGCCCCAGCCGTATATTTGCTGAAAAGAGCATTCACATAATATGAAGAACTCATATTTTTGACCTGTGATTTGTTGTCCGGTAGGCTTCAGTGTCGGTTTTACGAGGTAGCTTGATATATGATAAACATTAAGCCCCCAGATTTACACAAAACCCCATTTTCTTTTGCACTGAGCTGCCTCCTGCACGTGATCTCCGACCATATGACCATCCCGTCCAATCTGCTCCTGCATCACAGGTGGGACAGTGCTGTGTGCAATGCAGGAAAAACACCCAGTCTCTGAATAAATGCATCTTCAAAATGGTGTATTTCTGTTTACTCATTCATCTCTCAGATGCAATACTCATCATGTGCTATCATGTGCTTGCATCACACACACTCACAGGCTGTACACTGGCTAATGTCAATGTTCCTGGTGCTGGGCTTCATTGAATATTCAAATGATTATTTCCTACATCCTGGCATGGAAACTACAAGGTATTAAGTATAAAAGGCTAATACTAGCTTCAACTCATGCTCTTTAACAGGGCAAGGTTATTCTATGTTATAGAATGGGGGGGGGGGGGGGGGGGGGGGGGCATAAAGAAATAATGATAATGGGATCTCAATGCCCCACTGTTGATATTTTTATACATAGAATGAGACAAAACAGAAAAGAGAAACTGCTGGACACGGTATATATAAACGGCGGTGTATTTAAAAAAACAACAACATATATATATATATATATATATATATATATATATATATATATATATAATTTTATTATTGTTTATAATAATATATATAAATATAGATATAGCAGGTTTTTTTATTTTTTAAATATTAAAAAAAAAAAACACAGAACATGAAAAAACTGATGGCATTATATATATATATATATATATATATATATATATATATATATATATATATATAATATAGTTTTCATTTTATTTTTTTTTAAATTGATAGAAAAAAGGAAAGCAAATCAGAAAATCACAAGGGAACTGATGGACACATGGATAGAATGGGGTATATGGTAGACAGAATAAATATATATATATATATATGTGTGTTTGTGTATATATTTATTTATGTCTCTCTCTCTCTCTCTCTATATATATATATATATATATATACATATATAATAACGAAATCTATATTTGGGTTCTTTTTGTTTATTTACATTTTTATATAGACTCAAAGAAGCACACAAACCGCAGGTGATGGGCAATGGACTATATATAGTAACTATGATAGAATTATATATATATATAGAGAGAGAGAGATATAGAGAGAGAGAGAGAAGAGAGAGATATACATACATAGATAGATACATACATACATACATGGATAGATACATACATATGATAGATACATAGATAAATGTGTGTGTGTATATAATATATATATATATATATATATATATATATATATATATATATATATATATATATATACATCCCTATGATTAAGGCACATTCCCTGAATACTATTTTCCTTGTATGATAATTATTATTTTTTATTGCCAAATAAAATAAAAAGGACGCCAAAGTTAAAATTTATTAGTTGTTACTTGTGTGTAGAATTGATGCCAGGTTTATTGAAATGGGCAGAGACCCAGGACTCGGGTTTTATTTGTATGGTATTAAGGTGCTCAGTAATAGGAATACATGGACTTACCTGGAGCCTCCTGAAGGATCGATCAGTCTCCGGTGAATTGCTGTCTCTTTGGAGAATTAACACGAATACATTTCCATAAACACAAATAAATAGTTCCATTTCCAGACTGCAGCACCTTCCCTTCTTCAAACGCCTGTTAAAATGAGCCCTTCTCCCCGGCTGTAGACTGTGCTACACAGATAGCTTTTACAGCCTTTTATATTGCACATCATAAACTTGAAACGCTCAATGGGATTGCTCCGGAAATTCTACCTTAAAAAGATATAGCCCTCTCATCTGTTGTACAAAGCGGTTCCCACGAACTAATCTCTGAATTTCCAGCATATTTTCACAGATTGTACTTTTTTTCAGACAACAGAAAATGTCTTATTCTGCCTATTCTTTGAATACAACATGCTGGCACCATAAAGGGATAGAAATATTTGAAGTTTGCAAATAAAGAAATACACAACACTCCATAACCATTGCCCTGAATATTCAACATGATAGCAATGAATGAAGACCCCCATAAAATTAAATAAAAAAGCAAGCTCTTTTATTATTAGCAAACATAATTGAAGCAGTCTATAGATCTCTACGTATATATTCATGAAGGTATTATTTGTGGGAGGGGCTTAGCTGCCAGACACATTTGTCTGAAGCAATACGGAATTGCAAGAATCTACAAAAAAATGTAGAGTAAAAAGTATACAGTATATTTATGCATTTATGTGCATTAAGTGCAAATATCTGTTTTGGATAGGCTAGATAGGCTATTACTTTTATTTTGGGACGTATACATAAAATGCGTTATACTTATGTACAGATGTGCTGCATGTAATCTTCAGCTGCATCAAGTATATATATCGTTTTGTTTTTCGTTCTTTTTTGCTGTTATTATTATTATTTTAAAAACAAAAAAATGTAATAAAGTGTTTCTAATTTAATCTTTTTGCAGCCCCTGTTCTCTTCTGTATATAACATGGCGTACATTTTTTTTCTAAATGGATCTTTGCAAACAAATTGGAGCTGATTTATATACGTGTAAAAAAGAGAAAAGTAAATATATTCACCCCCAGCTTTCTGTGAATGTGTATTTATATTGCGCATGTTAGATATATATTTACACAGCAAAGTCAGACAAACAATGCTTTAAACCATATTCAGTTTGATTTTAATAAACCAGTAAACCTTAGGCTTCGTGTGTGTGTGTGTTTTTTGTGTGTGTGTGTGTGTGTACTTATTTACTTCAAAAAAGTAAATGAGTACACACACACACACACACACACACACACACACACACATATATACATATATGTGTCATATATATTGAATTAAACAGTATATATACTGATTATATATATATATATATATATATATATATATATATATATATATATTATCACCAGTAATCAGGGTAATTTTTCTGAAATATGATACTGCAATCACGGTTTAAATAAAAGAAAAAATATTTCCTGTATTATGTTTAATAGATGCCAGAGATACACTATCTGATGTCCTTATTTTTATTCAGTTTTATAAATAAACTATTTATTGAGAGAGAAACCTTGTTTGGAATTTAGCTGCATTTACCTCTTTGCAAGATAAAAGGGGGAGAAATACAAAATAAGTGCTTCCTTTTGGGTGTATCAGCTCCTATTCCATGCATTTACTAGTGTTATGCTGCCATCTGCTGGACAAATGCGATATTCACAAGCATCCAGCAAAATTACCCAGAGCTGTTTGTTTCAATTCCCAACAAGAACAGCAAGTGGATGTTTTTTTGCTGGCTGCCCAGGCAAACAGTTGATCCTATAACTATACAAAAGCTAAAGATTTCAATGTTACTGAACAGTGAGAGATAGTTATTTCCGCTCTGCACATTATCTAAATCCGCCAGACAAAACAAATGAAAAGGCTTCTGTAGAAAATCTTAATTGCGGCTGGACAGCTATAAAGTCATTAAGAGGCGAATTCCAGACAGTTTGCAGACCAGCCATTTATTGCACACTTTTTAGTGTCCATTCTTTTGAAGTTCCTTTCTGCCTGTAACAACAGAGGGCGTCCCAAGTGCCCGGAAAAGGCAGCAATTATTTTTTTTCCTTACCTTAGAACAGCAATGACCATTCTCTTTATTTTTTTTTTAAACAGCAGTTGCCATTATTTCGGACCACATATGCTCCAGTTTTTATCAAACAAAGCAATGATTTCTGTAACTTACTTTGTATATTTTCATCAACATTTTCCAGGATAATTATGTAGGCTTGTAGAAAACACGGGCATGTCCTCCAGGTTTTGTTGAAAAGCCTGCAGCGGTTTACACTCCATAAACCTAACAACAGTCATTTTCTTTTATAGCATTATATGGCTCAGAATTTTCCCAACAACATCCTCTGTCAGGACTTGAGTTCTAAGTGAACTGACTTGTTTTTCCAAACTGGTTCTCTCAAACTATGCATTTCCCCCCAATGTGCAAACAGGCATCAAGGATATTTTAGGCCATCAAATCGTTTCCTAAAGTTGGATGAATGAGGTGGGAAGCTTGGAATAATCAGAGGGTTATTCAATGGGAGAATTATTTGTCCTTCCCTCCAAAACAAATGTACTGTGGATTCATCATATGACCATGATCAATTTGGTTATCAGTAAGTATTTAGTATGTACTACTATATATATATATATATATATATATATATATATATATGCACATATATATATATATATATATGCACATATAAATATATATGAGAGAGAGAGAGGAAAGGGAGAGATAGAGAGATTGTATATTGTAAAGACATGAATTGACTTTATATTGAAAATGCAACATATGCTGTCTCACTGCTCTGTGGAATAGTAACATAAAAAAGCCTATCGCAACTAACTAACCAACTATATATATATATATATATATATATATATATATATATATACACACACACACACACATATAGAGAGAGAGAGTAATATTGTAAAAACACGATTTATACTGAAAATGTAACATGTTGTCTCACTGCTTTGTGGAATGATAACATAAAAGGCCTTACCACAACTAACAAAAATATTTTATTTGAAAACAAAAAAAAAGAATATATTTTCAGCACAATAATTTGGTCAACAGGCCATGAGGTAACTATTGTAAATATAAAGAGTTCTGTTAGGAATAAATTATTATTATTATTTTATTGTTTAAAGATAGAAATATACCCAATTTTAATGTTACTGTGTATAATTTATTATTCTTAATAAATTTAGCTTCAATACAGTGAGCAAGTAGAACATAACACAAGCTATAGGTAGTAGAACCCTTACTCTGCATATATATTAATGCATATATATGTAGGTCGAGTTTGAACATCAGCTCCTCAGTGCCAAATCTTGCACATTTCAAGCTTTTGCCCATTATTTTTTCTTTATAGACAATAATACAGGACTGACGTTAGAGGTACACCTAATTGTATACAACGTTTCAGATTGTTGCAGTTGTTTGATTGCCACATTACTGAGGTTAATACTTTATAGATCAATCGGACACTTCTTCCAACAATGTACTTAGCTGTCTCTATATATATATCTCTATATAACGAGAGAACAAATAACGTTACAAGCTTGTGTACTAAAACTAACCTTATTTTAAACAACCTGAGTTTCAATTTAATCCTAGATCGCAGTTTTGTACGACATTCACGCACATAAATCGGTCACAGATTCACTACATAAAACACATGATTCAAGTATACCAGCAGACTTCCCTGCTGCACAAAGAGCAAATAATAATAATTATAATAATTATAACTACTACTCGGCTAGTCTGTACAGTCAATATATAATTGTGCACAATAGTAAGGTAGTCTGTTTTGTAGAAGTAGAACAGGTAGATTTCTTTTGTATGCCAGCCCAACCCTAATGCCCCTTTGCCTTGTTCGTGAAATAATTTAAGGAATAAACAGTACCTCTTTGATAGGACTCGTTAACCATGACTGTGATGGTTCTTGGTTTTGTTAACGTGATCAATGTTTTATCAGAAGGAAAAAAAATGAGGCCTGGATACAGTAGCATCGCTTGTTTGAGTCAATCCATCCAATGCTTTTTTACTCGTCCTTTGATCGGTCCTTGTTAATTTTTTTTCATTTTCATTCTTCTGTTCTGGAACCAAATTTTAACTTGTCTCTCTGTAAGATTGAGGAGTCTGGCCACCTCATACCTCCTGTCCCTTGTGAGGTACATATTAAATAAAAACTCCTTTTCCAGTTCCAGGGTCTGGTGCTTGGTGTAAGGGCAGCGTTTTTTCCTGGTGGATCTTGCATGCAGCCAATTAGCTGCTGGGTTGTCTGAAGAAGAAGAGAGAGGACATTTTTTCAAGTCATGTTTACAATGCCCTATACAAAAAAGGTGCATGCATGCGTGGATTGTGCTTCCCCACAGAGGCAAATCCTAAAATATGCATTTTGAAGTTCAGCCCACGCCCACCTTCTTCCTGCTACATTATAGACCCCATTTATTTATACAATTCACCTAATATTATTTTTTTTATTGGTTGAACTAGATAGACTTGTGTCTCTTTTTAATGTAATATGCATTTTAAATATCAGCCCACGCCCACCTTCTTTCCTGCTACATTATAAACCCCATTTAGTGATACAATTCACCTGATATTATGTTTTTATATGGTTGAACTAGATAGACTTGTGTCTCTTTTTAATGTAATATACATTTTAAATATCAGCCCACGCCCACCTTTTTCTTTCCTGCTACATTATAGACCCCATTTATTGATACAATTCACCTGATATTATTTTTGTATTAGTTGAACTAGAGAGACTTGTGATACTTTTGAATGTAATATGCATTTTAAATATCAGCCCACGCCCACCTTCTTTCCTGCTACATTATAGACCCCATTTATTGATACAATTCACCTAATATTATTTTTTTTTTATTGGTTGAACTAGGTAGACTTATGTCTTTTATTTTAAATAATGTAACTCTGTAATAGACATTTTAAAGACCAACCCAAGCCCATCTTTTTCCATATTGACACATTATAGACCTTATTTAGTGATACAATTCACCTGATATTGCTTTTTTTCTGCTGGTTGAACTAAATAGACTTATGGGGGGTTTTTTAACTATGTAATGTGCATTTTAAAGATCAGCCCATACCCACCTTTATCTTTATTGCCAAATTATAGACCCCATTTAGTGATACAATTCAGCTGATATGACTTTTTCTATTGGTTGACCTAGACAGACTTGTGTCTTTTTTAAATTATGTATCAGGAATTTTAAAGATCAGCCCACACCCACCTTCATACTGTCACATTATAGACCCCATTTATTGATACAAATCAGCGGATATTACTTTTTTCCTATTGGTTAACCTAGTTAGACTTGTGTCTTTTATTAACTAAGTAATATGCATTTTAAAGATCAGCCCAAGCCCACCTTTTTCTTTACAGCTGCATTATAGACCCCATTTATGTGATACAATTCACTTGATATTTCTTTTTTTTTCTATTGGTTAAACTAGATAGACTTTTGTCTTTTTTTAACTATGTAACAATGCAATATACACATCAGATCATCCATACCGAGGGGAAACAAAGTCTAAGTTATATCCCTGAATTATTTATTTCCAGTTTGAATGCAGATGTTGAAATGGGACTCCCTTGCACTGGGTCCATTGATAACCTATAGCTCTAGTTACAGCCCAGCAGAGCAATTTCCAGCAGCATCATTTGCATATTGCAAAGATCCATGATCTGTTCCCTGTAGCTATCCAGTACATCAATAATTTGCATAGGTAAATATTTGATTCACTTACTTGGGTCAATGGGAGGCTTCTCTCCATTGGTAAGGCTTTCTCCACTACTGGCAGCAAACCCACCGTCGTTACTTTGCTTTTCCCTGTCAGCCGGAGAGCCACAGGCATAATCAGACAAAGACAGAGTGTGAGCCTCAAACGTGGTGCAATCCCCCCTCCTGCTGGAAAGCGGCTCAGGTTTAATACCGTAGTGTCTGCTGGATGGTAAGCCTGGGAAAGACAATGATCCTGGCATGGGATCCAGCCAGGATCGCATATACCTGCCATCTGAAGCTGTAATGGGTGCTTGATGGTGCACATAGGGGTGGTAGACACTGGACACGTTATTGGCAGTCTGAGGGTGCACTGGGTTCCATGGGCTGCTAAACACTGACGTTTTAGATTGGAAGCTGCACGGAGTGTATTCGGGGTGTTCTCTCCCAGGGCTGCCTGCCTTGGTGGCTGAGCCAGAGAGCCAGAGCCATATCTAGACTGCACCAGGTCGTCCCCCTCGTGAATTATGAAAGAGTCCACAAAATAATTGCTCAGAGTCCCAGAAGTCGACATGGCCATAGAACACAGCAAGGACCTCCTGAAATTATGAAACTGCAGATTTCATGTAACAACTTGGTCCTACAAAGAAGTACAGTCACCTAATAAGTTGAAGGCAGACTGCATTCCTATTGGCTGCCTGAGCCATGTGACTACGCAGCAGAACAATAAGGTATAAATCAGTCCGCAGGCTATTAATGGGTCAGTGTTTTCCAGTCATAATTTTTTATAGCAAAGCCATATGTTTTTATGCAAAAGGATATTTGAGTTATACAATGTAGTCCCCTTTAATTGTGGCCAACTGAGATTAAAAGATCACATTTTTTTTTCTTTTGCTACCATTTCAGGGACTATTTTACATCATTATTAATCACGCAGTAGGATGTAGGTATTCTCCATAGTAACTCTTCCACCGAAAATCATCCACATTGACTGTTTATTTAGCAGAAATCCAGGAATATGGAACCGTCGCTATCTGTGATCCAGAAACTCTAGTTTAGGGGTTCTGTATGGCTGGCTCTATATTCTATTGGTTTGTATAGTTGTACAGGAACACAGCCTGCAATATCCCCATTTACTATTCTGCTTTGGAATACTAACATGGCTAATATGTCATTTGCTGCAAATCTCTTCTCTTCAGTGCTATTCTACATAGTCACCCTGTAAATATTAAATACAACTCATTTCAGGAACCCTGAGAAAATTAATAAATATTTTCAATTTGTTCCTTTGAACAAATAAGCATTCCCCTCTGCTGATGTATACTGATGTATACTTGCATACATTTATTTTACAGGCTTGTGGTTTAAAAAATAAGGCAAGATTGTAATTCATTATAATTGCGGAACAAGTCTTTTGTACAATCAGTCACCTATGAAGGCCATGCTAGAATGAACTAGGTGCAGCAATGCACTGTGGGCATGATGGTAAATTACATGTACATGGGCATAGTGAACATACAGGGACAGTTTGGAGAAATAAAATAGATCCATGCACCTATTACACCCATCCAAAATATACCTGGGTGGGTTCAGCCTGTGGGAGTATCTGAAGAGCTTTCAGGATAAAACCGATCCAGGGGAATATAAAATAACCATAATAAAAGAGACCATAAGTGAGGTTTATACAAGGCACATACAAAGGAAAGGAAATTAGGGCGTGGATTAGTGTGGGGAAATGTACAAGGCGTGATGCAAAATCTCCAGCGTGAAACCTTTGCTTTAATTCGCAGATATTGACCAATGGTAATAAAACTATATTGCACTCACCACATTTTATTTGACTTTGTATCAACAACGGTAACATTGCAGCTAGCATAGCAACACAGTGCAACAAATAATCACCATACTGCGGAGGGTTACACTGCTAAACTGAGCACAGCAGTCAGATCAAGTCCATTGTTAGGAATTCACTGCGATCTATTTGTCAATCTATCTACTCACCCGATCTATTTATTTAACAGAAAGGTGTATTTATTTCAAGCTTCAATTTTAGTTGCTTCCTATACAAAAATCACGTCCTGGGAACATGTTTTCATTCTTCATGGAATTATTTTAAGAAAATAAATACTTTTCATAAAGCACAAATCTCCCCTTCTGTCCATAAGTAGTAATTATACTGCTCGAACCAAAATGCCTTAGAGCTAAAATCTTTCAAACTGTTATAAATATAATTTCAAACATGTTTGAGCCTTTATAAAAAAAAAAAATCTGTAATACCTACATCAACGAAAAAAAAATCACTACCTCGAAAAAACATATAATTATAGTGTGAAGACGATAAACTGCAAGAGTAGTAATGTGTTTAAATAAAATAGGCATATGCAAAATTGTAATAAAAATATATATTAGGAAAAAAAAATACAATAATTAAAAGTGTGTGTGTGTGTGTGTGTGTGTGTGTGTAGGAATGTGTGTATACCAGCGTATGTGCTTTTTTGTGTTTTTAGGTCCAATATTAGTAGAAATATTTTTTAAACAGGCATGCAGACATGATAGCTTTCTTTGCCAAAAATAAGAGAGGGAGGGGGGGGGGTGCAATTAAATAAAAAAATAAATACTTAAATAATTAAAGTTATTGTCACTTGTGGTTCTGCTGTTGTATTATTAGTATATAGGGTAGTAGTATTATTAGTATCGTTGTTGTTATTATTATTATTATTACTGATGGTGTTGTTTTTTGTTACTACTGTTGCTGAGTAAAGTAATATCAATTCATGAATTTTAAATAATATTTGATCTGATGTAGATTACGTTTTCTGTGGCAATTCATTAATTCATATGGCGTTATATAAATCCTGTATAATAATAATATTAAAATAGTGCCTCATATGTATGCCAATTAATGTGTGTGTGTGTGTGTGTGTGTGTGTGTGTGTGTGTGTGTGTGTGTCTGTAGTGTGTGTGTGTGTGTGTGTGTGTGTGTCTGTAGTGTGTGTGTGTCTGTCTGTAGTGTGTGTGTGTGTGTCTGTCTGTAGTGTGTGTATGTGTGTTTTTAGGGGCTGTATTATAAAAAAAAATACAAACATAACACCATTGTTTTCTTTTCACAATTTGGAAAAAAAATTTCAATAGTCTTCTGTTTGTATGAAATAATTATTGTTTCATACTGCTGTTAAATCAAACCCCAAATTTAGGTAAAAATTTGTATAAATTGTTCACTTCGAGGTTCAGTTAAAAGCAGAGCCCATTCCCCAATAAGCTATTGATATGGGGCTGTCTAGGTTCTGTCTGGTTTATTTTGATGGGTGTCTGCTTGTTTCCCTGACTGTGCTGGTGGGGAGGCTCTGAGGAATGTCAGACTATAGGCTTGTAATAATGATCGTAACCTAGGCCTTGTGAGCAGGAAGCCATTATAACAGGCAACTCTCCATACTTTTCCCCCTTGCTATTGCCTAATAAATGTTAGCTTAACGGTATAGCAATATCACCTCTAAGAATTCGAGAATTAATATATACTAGTACATATGGAAACTCCTGTAATCCAGCATGCATACAGCATTTATACAAGCAAGGTCTGATTTACTTAGGGAGCCATTTCCAGCCTAGCCTGTGTTCATTTCAGAGCCAGGGGACACGTTTATTCGTTTTACTCTAATGGGGGATTTGAAATGAACATATGCTAAGGCTAAATGCACTATTTTAGTACATTAAACCGATTCTGACGCCATCACACACATACAAGTACAAATTACATATATATATTCATACATTACATGGTCATTTTTAGTATGCACCAATTAATGGTTATTCCATGCCCATGAATGTGCCCCAATAACTTACAATATAAGCAATCTTTCATTTCTCAAGAGGGTACATATATAACATTGTCTTGGGCACCTACATAGCCAACCATAGGAGCTCACGGATGGAGCCAGCAGTTCCATAACACAGCTGAAGATGTTCACTGATGTGAATAAGGCAGTTTCTTGTTGTCGAGATAAAGCTTGCTCCCCAACAACATGAAACTACCTAAATCACAGGCCAGTTCTGTTTTAATACTCTAGGGTTGGCGACCTCCAAATTCCTTGAAGATCCGCTATAAAGAGAAAATCACAAGCACGCTAAGCAAGTCCCAGGGTTTGGTAGGCGTGCAATCAGTGCCTCAGCCCCTGCAAGCTAAAACATGCACTAAAACACAGGACAGTCATAAAAGTAACGGGTTAGTACAAACACACTACACATATAGAAAGTGAGTGGACGTCTGCAATTATTTATACATGAGGCATACATGCATGATGTAGGTGTAGATAAGTGGCTATGCAAAGGCAATCAGTTGATCCCTAGAAAAAAAATCATTCTTGGTCAGACTGCATTCAAACAAAGCAAATCTATAGGTTAAGGGTGCCAAGTATGCAAAGAAAGTGCGCTATGTGCGCAATGCGCAATCAACCTCACCTTGGGCTTCATCAATGTCACTTTGGGCCACTGCTATGTTTTCCCAGATGGAAGTGGACAGCTTCTTGCTTTCCAGATTTTAAAAAAAAGAAACAATCCCATCTCCTCTTGTTATTTGCTTCCTCTGTCTAAGCAGTTCCTTGCACAACTGAAAGCCTTCGTCTAGCTCTGCAACAATCCAGATATACTAGCAAGTCATAAAACTGAACAAAAGCCGACAAACCTTACAGCACCATTGCTATATAGCCCAGACAAATTACGACTGTCTAGGTAATATTTAAATGGATTCCTATGGTAATTGCAGGGGGGTTTAGCCAACTTGTGCTGTTGTAAAAGTTCTTGAGGAGATAAAAAAAAAACTAAGGATAAACAGCCACATAAGAGGTAAGAAAAAAAATAGGAAGGATTCGTTGCATTTTATTTGATTCTTCATTGAGATCATAAACATTGCCTGTTCACAAACAGCAGCATAACAGTATTAATTTATCTGGATGAAGGTAAGGTGTCCATGGATCGAGAACGTACATTAAAGTTAACATAAAATACATTTGTCAGAGAAACATTGGCTTTAATAATAATAAACATTTACACATATTTGCATCTATAAAGTTCATTTTTTTCTGCGTTTATAATTTTGTAAATTAAAGCATGTAAATTCACAGTATTTTGGGCGGAATGCGAGGATTTCCTTTATCAAGGCTTCTGTTGTATGTAAGCTTCTTCAGTATCCAAAAAAATAAAAATAAAAAAAATGTAAGATGGGCCATCAATGGTCACGGTGTGCTTTTCTGCTGTTACTAGAAGTAACCTGTAACAAATTGCCTAAACAGTCATAACTACCCTATTTCTCTAAAACCAGCAAAAGGCAAAACATTCTATCATCCTGCAGTATATATACTCACACAGATTACATTTCCTGAAGAAATGAGGAGTATCTCAACCCACCCCATAACATGGAATAACTGTTTCTAGTTCTCTACCCACCCAACAAGATAAACCCCCCTTTCCTTTGCAGAATAGAAATAATATAAAATGCAGTGCCAGATGCAACAAAAAAAGGCATTAAGACTTCAAAATGTACAAATCATAATATGTTCTTTCTATGATGACTATTCACTGCAAATGTTTTCCATAAAAATATAATAGTCTAAAAAATAAACCAACAAAAAAAATAATTATTATTTTAATAAAAAGCTCTTAAAGACATGTGTGCAATTATGGCTTTAACCCCAGATTAACAAGAAAGTAGGGTGGGATTATGAATATACTGGTCATGTACAGAACGTTCAGTCCAATAATGGTGAGAAGAAACCATGATGGAAGAGTACTGGCTCTCTGATATATTGGGGAAAAAAAGAAATGGGAAGGTGTGCAGGGTCATCAGGAAAAGTTGAAGTTGGCTGTGAGCTCCCGGATTCTGTTCTCTCGGTTCATCTTCTTGAGTTTCATTCTGCGGTTCTGAAACCAGATTTTCACTTGTCTGTCTGAGAGGTGGACACTGCGGCTGATCTCTAGGCGCCGCTCTCGAGTCAGGTACATGTTGAACAGAAATTCCTTTTCCAGTTCCAGGGTTTGATGCTTGGTGTACGGGCAGCGTTTCTTCCTTCCACTTTTAGCTGTTAACCAGTTGGCCGAATTCTCATTTTTGGAGTTACCTAAGAAAATAAAACCATACAGTATGCAGTTTACATTAAAAATAATAATAATGAATATATATATATATATATATATATATATATATATATATATATATATATATATATATATGCATGCATACATATAAAGAGATGAATGAACACAGTGATGTGAGGATAACCTATCTGCACTATCCGTTATGATTATTATTTATATACCGCCTTATTTTTCACTACCTAGTGTTACTACTGTTTGGATTAGTAACTAAAGCCTAATCTGCAGTTGTAGACGTTGGAATACTATAGCAAAATTAAATGTAACATATTTAAAGGAAGGGCAGCAGTGGCACAAAGATTACAGTAGATAGCACTACTAAAATACCGCATATTATTCCTCTGGGGAAGGCTGGCCATACATTACAATCTTCTTGTACAATATTTCTTTAGATTTACCAAAACCATTTAATATAAGGCAAACCTAAACACTTTCAATTTTTATGCAATCAGGCAGGCCCTTGCAGGACATAGTTGAAGTTAAAGGAAATTGAACAAGAAAATTGTATAATGTATGGGCAGCTTAAGTTTTACCTCTGTATAAGTCTGGCAATACATTATACGTTTTTACTATTAATTTTCTTTTAGATTTACCTTCAACTATGTAGTGCAAGGGCCTGGCTGATTGCATACAAATTAAAAGTGTTTAGGTTTTGACCTCATGTTATATGGTGTTGGTAAATCTAAAGGAAAATTGTACAAAGAAAATTGTATAATGTATGGCCAGCTAAAAGTTTAACCTCTGTTTTTAGCTGGACATACATTATACAATAAGTTTATTTAATATTCTTTGTATTTATTTTAAACTATGTAGCTCAAGGGCCTGTCTGATTGCATACAAATTAAAAGGGTTTAGATTTGACCTCCTGTTGTATGGTTTTGGCAAATCTAAAGGAAAATTGTACAAAGAAAATTGTATAATGTATGGCCAGCTGAAGTTTAATCTCTGTGTTAAGCTGGACATACATTCTACAATATTCTCATGCAATATCCTTTGTATTTACTTTAAACTATGTAGTTCAAGGGCCTGTCTGAATGCATACACATTAAAAGGGTTTAGGTTTGACCTGGTGTTGTATGATTTTGGTAAATCTAAAGGAAAATCGTACAAAGAAACATGTATAATGTATGGACTGCTTAAGTATAAACCAATGTTGTTTCCAATAATGTGGTATAAATAAATACATGCTAAATGTGTGTGTGTTCTCTCTACCTCCCTCTCTGTAGATGGATAGATAGATAGATAGATAGATAGATAGATAGATAGATAGATAGATAGATAATTACATTCATGCATAAATGCACACACACATACGATGATTGATAGATAATTTACATGCAAGTTTCGTGGTAGTACAGGAAACAAATAATATATATGAGTGTGTGTTTTGTTTGTTTGTTTGTGGTTTCTTTAGGTTATTTTTTTTTTTGTGTGTAGCTGATATTTATGTTCTGATTCAACAACTGGAGCAATGAGTAGAGGCCAGAGCCTTTCAGAGTGTAGGGTTGGACAGTATTCAGGGAAGCAGAGGGCAGTTCACATCTAGTTAACACATATACAAGGGGTATTTACTGTCATATTTTGGATGGGATGTTGGTAGTGGCGCCTGTAGCGCTCTTCAGTTGGACTCCTATAAATAACTAGGCTTTTTTTTTTTTTTATAGTGGCTCTCTACTTCCTCTGGGACAAAGCACAGTTAAGCATGTGGTGTAAAGTTTAGGATGGACAAGATTTTTATGACGTCCTCACGCCCAATTATTAAATAGTTCAAAGGATCATAATAAAAAAAGAGAGGAGAGAGGGCTTCCTCTGTGATGTCTGCTCATATGCCCTTGCCTTCCCTTTGTAGAAGAGAGTGCTCACCTCCGGGGTCTTTCTCCGGGGAATGTTTGCTGCTGTCAGATGGGGCCGGAGAGGAGTCCTCAGCGCCGGAGGAAGAAGTATGGTGACGAGCCTCGTCCTCTGCTAGCTGCTGGGCTGCTCCTGGGTGCTTGCTCGGGGGCGAGTCGTCGGCATCCTTCCGCACGTTGTCTGCGGGCATGGAAGACAAAGGCAGGGGCTGGTCGAACCGGACCTGGGGCTGGGGGACAAAGTGTGGCGGTGCAGCAGCAATGTGCCCGGCAGCAGCAGCAGCAGCAGCAATGTGCCCGGCAGCAGCGGCAGCAGCAGCAGCAGCGGCAGCATAGCCCTTGGATGAGCCATATGCCTGCGATAGGCGGAAGTAGCCTGGCACATGGAACAGAGCTGGCATTGTGGCCAGGGCTAGCCTCAGAATTAACCCTTGGGAAAGTGGAAAGGTCAGTGGCAGCAGCTGAAGTCTTAGGGCATTTGTCAGAGTCATAGAGGCAGTAGGAGTTCTCTTCTTTAATACTTTGGGGAAAGGAGCAGGAGGTGCTTGCTTGGCTTTCAGGCTGCTCCACACGGCAGGACCTTGGGGCATCCAGCCAGACCTCCATCCCTGGAGCATAGTTCTGAGATGTGGGGGGCGCTGTGTTATTTGGGGGGAGACCTTCATTTCGTTTGCTCAAAACTGGGAAAAGTCCACAGCTCTGCAGCCCATAGGACACGTCGGAGGACGCCTGTGGCAAGTAGAGCCCACTTCCCTGGTAGTAGCCCCCAGCTTCACCTCTGCCTCCGCTGATCAACGAATCCACCAGGAAAGAGTTTGCAGCCGGACCCTCTGAGCATGACATTGTGGTGGAATAATTTGGCGAAGAGAGCAGATATTCCTTTCTGGCTGACATTTCTTGTGCAAAACATGCTGAATATGATTAGAGATACCCCTGCACCACGGCAAATGAATGCAGCCAATGAAAGCTCACGTCTAGGCACCAACCCCTCCCAGTCCAGTTTCGTATGCAAAGGTTCATCTTAGCTCGACCTCTATAATATATATATATATATATATATATATATATATATATATATATATATATATAGTCATAGACTTATATAAACACAATCATAATACACATTAATTCCAGTAGGCACATCAATCTTTTTTTTTTTATGTACTGTACTTACTGCACTACAATGCATTGGCTATACTGTTTAAAATAGTGGCTACTTTCATTTAATAAAAAAAGGTTAGAAATGTCTTTTTTTGATACAAAATAACATCATCTGACATTTGTCTCCATAAGTAACATCTAATTAAACACAAATAAATTGCACATATGCTGAGTGTATAGTATAAAATAGACAGTAGGAGAAAAAAAAAAAAGAGTCAGACAGTTATAGAGAGCGAATGGGAGGAATTCTTTGGGGTGGTCTTCAAAGTGATTGCTAATGGCCAAAGACCATGACCCAGTCGGCATTATAGACCAGCAAATAGGGAAAAATGCAAAATAAAAAATAATGAAGTATTAGTTTCAGACTTCCTTGGTTGGCTTGCCCCATGACACACACAATAAAATAACATTATGTTCAAAAATGTTATATCGCTCATTAGCAACCATTAGGATATAAAACAGTAGTCGCTTGGTGTCTATGGTTCTATCCAGTCTGTAGTGTGTGCTGCTATACAACCTACTGCTTCTTATATCTCATATATCTAATAAGGTAGGTAGAACGTTACAACCTGATGTTAGTAAGAAGAGCTAAAGGACTGAAAGCCTTTCCCAGGCTCCTGTTGGAGTTTCTGACTTACACTTGGCTAATGTTTTCTTCCTTTTGTTGCAGAGGCTCAGGAAGAACGATACAAATCATTTCATCAAATATTCCTCCATGCAAACCGCATTGCTCAGCTCGGATGTGTGGTGTGAAAAAAGTCAGATGAATCAGAGAGTTTATTAGTTGATTTAGTATGTAAATCAGTGCACCATTTTTAACCACGCATTCCCAAAGCACTTACCCTTGGCTTTCAGACGATCTGTAGTCTGCTAGAGCAAGCTAGTCTGCCTTTGCAAGCTCAAGGAAAATATCTGCTTTTTAAACTCTGTGCTACAGTTTTATTAGCCTCCACTTGTGACTTTCTTCTGGGAAGGCCATATGAAATGAGCAGGGTTCACATGTTTCTGTAAGAATAGGAAGCCTTGGGGCCCTCTCTAAGGTTTGTGCACTGCTGGACGAGTTACTGAATACAAGATCCATCCCCTACTTATAGCACCCCAGTAAAACACTTTACTCCCACGTTTAGAACTTGTAAAACCTTTCCTTTTAATACCAGTGGAATAGGACCACAGCCACTCATTGTGCATGTCCCACAAGCCAGTCTGCCCCACAACACACATTGGTTTTTTTTTTTTTTTAAATATCTTATTGATAACTGGCTAGTTACATATCCCAATATGCTTGTTGTGGTTTATAAACTGCAATACAGCTAGTGTGTATTAGAAAACATAAGTTTACGTCACAGCCATGGTTTCTTGTATAACACCCCGCCTCAGTAAACTTAATTTCATATTTGGAGAAGCACCAACACAACAGAAAGATTAAAAAGCAAACAAAAAAAAACGCATTTCACACTTACACCTATGTTTTTATATATATATATATATATATATATATATATATATATATATATATATATATATATATATATATATATATATATATATATAAAAAAGTATAGCTTTTTATATCTACATTTATTTTTAAACATTACACACACGCACATATAAAATATAATTGTGTATGTATATATATATATATATATATATATATGTGTGTGTATATATAAAAATAAAATATTATAGATATATATTAAGATATTATTAGTATAATATTGTAGTAATATATAGTAGTAGTAATATATACTATTGAATGTAGAAAGAAAGTATTAAGTAGAAATATATATATAAAATCGAAATGTAAGATATATATATATATTATTATTATATATTTTTTATTTACTTTTATATATTTTAAAATATTTTTTATTATGCTTTTCTGTTTATTTGAATATATACTTTTATATATATATATATATATATATATATATATATATATATATATATATATAAAAGTATATATTCAAATAAACAGAAAAGCATAATAAAAAATATTTTAAAATATATAAAAGTAAATAAAAATATATAATAATAATACATTTTATATATATATATATATATATATAATTTATTGGTTTTTTTATTATTATTTTAATTTATTCATGACTTTGTTTTCCAGGTTATGCATATAATATTTTGGGCTTTGGGCTTTTAACATCTGTAGTGACGTCATAGAAATAAGAAACTGTGATATATGAGCTAGAAGTATGATACACATTTTTTTAGCTCATCACCGCCAGCTAAATGTTTCTACTTAAAAAATGCAAAGAACGTGTTTTTTTTCCCCTTCTTTTCCTGGAAACGAAAAAAATGTGACTGTTTCATGTATGTGAGTGAGACACAACAAAAGGCGCAGTGTCACATGTTCCAAGGGCCATGTTCAACAGTACAAGCCCAGGAGAGTCTATAGCAGACCCGTGCCCTCCATATGTAATTAATATCTGAAGTATTGTTGTATAATAGCATATCACAGAAAGAAAGGTGTGGATATGGAAGATTGGATGAATTCAGATGTGTTTATACAAAGAAATCTGGATGCCTTTTATAGTCAGGCACACGTCTAGTTCATGAAGTTTAATAGCCCAGTGGTGTGCGGGATCCATTCTTTTCTTTAATCACTAACAAGAGCAAGGCAAATAGTAAACTAGTATCATCAAACTCAGTCAAGTAAAACTAATACAGCACATTTAAATCTTAACTATAAACGATAAATGGTCAGTTTGGAGCTTAGAGGAACAATTCGGCAAGTGAAAAGCTGTGCTTTGTGCCAAACTACTTTTTAAATACCGAATGGAATCTCTTTTCAAGAACAAATGGGACTTATGTGAATAGAGATTTTCCCCTAACAGAGCCAGGCGGCCAAGGAGAGCTGCCTGCTCTATTCTAGTGGAAGGAAAGTGCATAACCAAATTCATATCAAAGGTACACACAACTCCCAAATTTCACTGTTATTTCAATAATTCCAGAACTTGCCCTAAAATGTTTAAACTCAAAACACCACTTAAACAAAGAGGGACAAAATAAAGGTAAACCACATGTAGCCACCATGCAAACACAGTACAGTTATTACATTATAGCTACTCAAATCTGTATGCTGTTATGAATACAATAATAATGAGTAGCAATTCCAGGGTGAACAGAAAGCCTTATAAACATATGTCCCTATATGTGACTGTTTACATAATAGATTTCCTGAAATTTGACAGTTTGTAAATTGCTTTTTGTCCTTATTTTTCTATTTGACAACTATAAACTGTCAAAAATGTGCATGGTTGCCAAATACCTTCCTTTTCCCCTGGACTGGATCCAGGGTGGTGCTTTGAATCAGATGGAGGGCTCTCTGGTGCCAAGATTGGTGACAAATGCCTATTAATGTTACAATAATACTTTTACACCCAGATATACATGAGCTTGGTTATTATCGAAGCACAACTGAAACCATTCGGTGTAAACACCTTCCTGAAGACATGTCAATATGAAACCTGAATTAGCAGGGGATTATTGTTTTTACATAACCTTTTAAGACAAGCATTTGGTTTGGTTATGCTATGATTAGGTAGATTTATTTAGAAAAAAATATATTTTAGATGTTTTTTCCAACAATATTGGATAAGTGAAAAATTAGTGTTTGCATTGGGTGACATTTACAAAACAGAACGTTCACTCTTGAGTGAAGCTTGTGTTTATTTCGAACATCCAATCATAAGCAAGGGAATTTGAAAAAAAAAAGAACTTCTCTTGCACATGATTGGGGTTTTGGAAGTGACAACAGGTTCACTTTAGAAGGAAAAGTACTCCTTAAGTAAAATAGCCAGTGTTCATTTAGGTCAAGGCACTCTTCTCACTGGATCTGGGCTCCAGATTCACATCAGCACGATCAAAGTTTAAAATCACAATACTTAAATAACATTCATAACATGTGTTCCAAATGTCAGATTAAACCTGGATTAAAGGGATGATACACCCAGATTTACTATAAATATTTCAGTGCAGACAGGCGTTACAATTGTTAGTACAGTGTCCAGAATATACTACAGGAAGTACTTCATTTTATGGCATTACTGAACATTTTTTTTCCTTAGGAGTCCTAAATAATCTTTGCTGTGGTAGCAGATGCTGTTTTACTTTGGGTGAGAGTAAAACCTCAGGAAAAATGGCATCAGGTATGTGGGACTTCTCCAAAAGCTCCTTGGCCCTACAGTCTGTGTTTCTGGGAGTCTGAATTAAACCAAATACTGTATTTTTCAAAACCTAGTACTTACTAGTACCTTGTATTTGTCCATTTAAAATTATAACTTACATGCTATGTTGCCTTGGAGAGCAGTTAAAATGTTATCAACATACATTTCCTTGTTCAGTTAATTTAATATTAGCTGTTAATTATCCGGTTACATTCGTTTTTAGTGCATTATTGTGGGTCATACAATACTTTTGGTCCTGCATTTATTGGCCAGTTTATAGTATTTATACATTTCCCTGGAATGGATTACAAGTAATACAGTCTGCAAGAAGAAATAAAAACTAAAGCTCTATTTATTAAAATGTACCGTCCATATTGTTATAAAAATGTTATTAAAAATAAATGCCTTATATTGTAATAACATTGGGGGTTAATTACTAAAACTGGAGCATACAGAATCTGCTGTAGCTGTGTATAGTAACCAATTAACTTCTCACTTCAGCTTGTTTAATTCAGCTTTAACAATTAAAAACCTAGAAACTGATTATTTTCTCTGCAAAGCTGCACCAGATTCTGTATGCACCAGTTTTAGTAAATAACCCCCATTGTGTGATTGTGTGCCAAGAGGGGTAACAAGATTGCTCCTCATCTTTTGCACTTATTGTAATCATCCTGTGCTTTTACGTTAAGTAACTAATCATCCTGTGCTTTTTAGTTAAGTAACTAATTGTAAAATTTGTACCTGATAGAATAACATATCCCCATTTACTTTACATTTGGATGGGTTTGTGCTTCCTGAAAATAGATATGGATGGTTATTAATTAAGTAAAAGGAATGCTTGGCATTCCTGAATCCTCATTGTATCCTTATTATCTTTATTTTGTAACAGTTAATTGAAATTGTGTTTCTATGTTTTGTTATATGTTCTCCGTCAGTCAATTAGTCTGTCTGTGTGGGGGATATTTACTAAAGTTGGTGCAGCCCTGCATAGAAACCAATCAGCTTCCACATTTTTTTTGGCAAAGTTTAATTGAACAAGCTTATAGAATCTGATTGGCTACCATGCACAGCTGTGGCCAGATTTTGAACTTTTCAGTTTTAGTAAATCAACCCCTGTGTGTCTATCTATTTGATAATCAGAAATATAGCAGCTTCTGCCATACTCCATGTAACAAGCCTCCTTTAGTAACACTAAGAACAGGTTGCCGTCTGTATTTTGATGGCAACAGTTAGCTTCACACTTACATGCTTTGTTCTGTGAAATAAAAAAATGGAGTATTGTACATTTATCACAATCTCTAAATATCTTTATCAGGGATAATTCTGCATTCAGTGACTTACCTTGGCTGCTTTATCCATCACAATTATTTTACTTTTTACGTTTTAATATGTATTTTCCAAAGCATCAACTTGCTTTAATCAAATAGTGACTGCCAAACTGTGCTCTTGAGACAAACCCTGTAATTTCTGTGTAGTCTCCTCGCTTGATAAGAAGAGAACAAAGGCCAAGATTCTAGCATTGGCTTCTCCTGGCACAGCGGCTTTGACATTGATCTGGACAACGCCATCTTGTGGCCATTCCTTTTCTTGTAATTGAAACTATTTTCTCCTCTTTTTCTCTGCTGTTGCCATCTTAGAGATGCTAGAGAGTCCATTCAGGCAACTGTTGGAAAGCACTGATATCACGTTCACAAAAAAAAATGGCTGCATACCCTGTGTTTAGTTTATAGCTCCGCATTCCAAATATGCAAATCACAAATCACAGACACGTTTTATTGCTGAATTGCCTTAGCAACACAGAGCAGGAGCTTTTATTGGGTCAGGAGACCAAAGACTCTGGCGGATAAACTGCAGGCCTCTAGGGTCTAGAGCATTTGCAAGGGAAACCAGTTAATATTTAACCCAGAAAGGAAATATCCTGTAAACTTCTCTTCTACCCAATTCTTTAGTTTTCCCTCCTGATTTTGGAGCACTGTTGATGCTATTTGGACCTATCTGTATGTGTCAGAGTAAGAGAGGAAAACTAAACTTTTTTTTTAACAAATACAGATAAGCGTCAGCCTGGGTAATGTTTGACATTTCTCTTGCAGTGAAATCTAAACACCAAAGAAATCTGCAAACAATAGAGGATCGCAGAATCCTAGACACTCAAGGTTATGTGCAATGTCCAACAATAGAAGTTCAAAGCCAGATAGCCATTCTGCCATAAAATATGTACAAACAGGCTAGGACCCAAAAAATTAAATAAAGTCCTCAATTATTGTCTTTTGCATTCAAAAGAGAAACAATTAAAAAATTATGAAAGCAAAGAACCCATGTATGATGGCAGCGCTAATAAAGGAGTATAAACAGCAAAACATTGGTTATTTGGATGCAACCTGACTGCCTTTTTACCTTCTACTAGGCCACTAAAATGAATATGCCAAGACAATAGCTATGAACATGGAATCCATCTCTCAATCAATAATTCTCAATCAGTGACCTCGTCAAGCTGAGACTGCAGCGTCAGCATTTACTGGAGAAATCTATTAAAAGTGGGAGCACGTTGCATGCAGTCTGCAGATTATTAATCATAGATTGCAGGTGTAACTTTAATGTGTATAGAAGAAGGCAACACAAGGTAACAGTTTTGTACTTTCAACCATTTTTATTTGTCTTGTGTGCTCTCCTGCTGTTTACATGCATCCCACCAAAACTGCATGGAACAAACTCTATATACATATCAAATATGCATTGGTAAGTCAACAGTGTGACACAAAAGTGTAGCAAAATATCTCATTCAGCCAAGAGCAAAAATATAAAATGTGTAGAAAAAGGAAAAGAAAATCTGAGGATGATCATTTGGAAAAACCTAAAAAAAAACAATAAAACAAAAATGTGTAAAAATAAAACACGTTTTGAATGAAATACGAAATGGCATTTATTTACACTTACATATGAAACATACATTCAAACAAAGATAGTACAAATAGAGCATCGTGTCCCCATAAACTAATATATATTTTCAAATATCTGTTATAATTGCTTTTAATAACTTTGGTTCTTTTTTAGGATTTTATATATATTTAAAAGAGATTTAAGTCTAAACATAATCTATGGACTGGGCACATAAACTCAGATTAAAATAATAGATCTGACTTTATTTTGGTATAAAGGAATGATATATACTATTGAAGATTATTGATCATTTCCTGTTTATGATGGTTATGTCATTGTCTGGCTGCACAGTTGATTGGAATAGATCATAATAGGATAGAGGACTTGTCTAATATTTCTGTGGTTACTCCACAGGCCAGTCCTATAGACAAAGATTGATATTAGCAAACAAAGTGCATATTTCTTGAGACCACATTGGTGACATTAGCTGTGACTGATAAGAGTGCTCAAAGAACCAACACAGTAGGGCACTTGGAAATTAAACTAACCAGTAAACCACATGCCCTATCGATTTCAATTGCAATAATAACAGCTTCTGGAACAGTACATTGAGATTGTTTTCCATGGTGCGGTGGTGATCACAAACAGATAGCAACAACATGATCATCGAATCTAAAAGTTGAAATTGGTCCTTTGAAAAAAAAATCACTTGTCCAGTATAGACACAACCAAAAAAATGTGTGAATAGTTGGTGAATGCCTTTCTCCAAGCATATGGCGCTGGAAAATGGAAGGAGCACTGCTACCCTTATCCTCCCCGTCACATGTCCAGACACAAGATCAGAGGCAGAGAAGCTCCAGATGTGTTGTTCATCAACAAATGGTACTTCCCATTGTCTGTAAGTTACACGCACATCCACATACATGTAACCTTGTGGCTTGACCTTGTCTTGAGCAAAAAAAAGTACTGTATTTGGCAGATCCGGGAAAAACGTAGTTACTCTCATAAGAGGGGGTTGGCAGAGTAATACTGCAATCGGTCCCTGTTAATTTTTTTCTCTTTCATCCTCCTATTTTGAAACCATATCTTGACCTGTCGGTCGGTTAAATTCAGCATTCGTGAGAGCTGTAGCCTTTTTTCTTTGTTAATATAGACACTGAAGAAAAACTCCCTTTCCAGTTCCCTAATTTGATATTTGGTGTAAGGACACCTCTTTTTACGGGTACGCTGTCCACCTGTGGAACAAGAACAAATACTATACTGTTATACCAGTATATGGTAGAATAATGTGCTTTACAATCCACTCCAATAAAAGTCATTTACTGAATCACTGTACCCTGAGGGCTTCACAGTCCCAGCAGCACTACACGCAACCCAGCGCATAAATAGTTAAAAAGTAATGCACTTATGGGCTCTATTAAACAAAACGTGTTTACAGCCTCTATTTATATTGCTGATTATAGAATTTTTATGGCTCGTCTACTACAGTATAATCTATTAATAGTATTCAGTGATATTGTAATATAGGAATATTTTATGAACTTGCCTATTGACGCCTTGAGTTTCATAGGAACCACAAGAAGTGCAAATACAACATAATTAATATTTTATTTGATACCAATCATTTCATAAGGTTGCGAAAATTCGCAGCTTTCGATATCTGAGCAGAATGTGGCAATCTCATTGTACGAATACAAAGAAATGCACACTCTTGATGAATGTTTGCAAGTATTTACACAACGTGGGCAATATATATATATATATATATATATATATATATATATATATATATATATATATATATATATATATATATATATATATTATAGACAGGCTTCAAAGGTATTGCTATCTAGGACGTTAAATAACTGACTTTCCCTAAAGTGTAACCCAATAGCTAGTTGTAGATGGTCACATTCAACTGGACTTGCTCTACAATGTTGAAACAATATTGTTTTCCAATATTATAGAGCAAGCCTAATGTCAATGACTACAATCAGTAATAGCAAGACCTAAATTAAAACCTTCACAGACATGTTCAACCCAAATTTTAATTCTAGGGATGACAACTAACTTTCCCTAATGTGTAAACCAACAGCTAGTAGTAGTTGTGGGACACATTCAGCTAAATAATGCTGAAACAATGGGGGAGATTTACTCAAATTGGAGCTCTCAGTACCTGGTGCAGCTGTGTATGGTAGCCAATCAGCTTCTAACTTCAGATTGTTCAATTAAAGCTGGCCATACATTATACAATTTTCTTGTACAATTTTCCTTTAGCTTTATATAATATGAGGTCAAACCTAAACACTTTCAATTTGTATGCAATCAGACAGGCCCTTGCACTACATAGTTGAAGGTAAATCTAAAGGAAGTGTGTACAAGAACATTGTATAATGTATGGCCAGCATAAGCTTTGACAATAAAACCTGGAAGCTCATTGGTTTCTATGCAGAGCTGCACCGGATTTTGCATCATGCAGGTTTAGTAAATAACCCCCAGTGTTGTTTTAGCATTATTGAACAAGTCCAGTTAAATGTCAGTGACTACAATCAGAGATAGCATGCCCTAAATGAGAACCTTTCCAGACATGTTCAACCCAAAATTTAATTCTAGGGATGACAACTGACTTTTCGTAATGTGTAATCCGAATAGCAGTTGGACACATTCAACTAGGCTTGTTCTATAATGTTGAAACAATGTTTATTTAGCATTACAGATCAACTCCAGGTTAATGTCACTGACTACTACCAATGAGCTGCATCAATAAAAACCATCACAGATACGGTTACCCCAAAATTTAGTTCTAGGGATGACAACTGACTTTCCTTAATATGTAATCCAATAGCTAGTAGTTGTTGAACACATTCAACTAGGCTTGTTCTATCATTGTGAAGCAATGTTTATTGAGCATTATAGAACAAATCCAGTTAAATGTCACTGACTACTACCAGTGAGCTGCATAAATGAAAACCTTCACAGGCATGTTCAACCCAAAATTTAATTCTAGGAATGACAACTATCTTTCCCTAATGTGTAACCCAATAACTAGTAGTAGTTGGACAGATTCAACTAGACTTGTTGAGACAATGTTTATTGAGCGTTATAGAACAAGTCCAGCTAAATATCACTGACTACTACCAGTGAGCTGCATAAATGAAAAACCTTCACAGACATGTTCAACCCAAAATGTAATTCTAGGTATGACGACTATCTTTCCCTAATGTGTAACCCAATAACTAGTAGTAGCTGGATACATTCAACTAGGTTTGTTGAGACAATAATTATTCAGCATTATAGAACAAGTCCAGTTAAATATCACTGACTACTACCAGTGAGCTGCATACATGAGAACCTTCACAGACAATTTAATCTCAACATTTAATTCTAGGTATGACAACTATTTTTCACTAATTTGTAACCCAATAACTAGTAGTAGCTGGATACATTCAGCTAGGTTTGTTGAGACAATGTTTATTCAGCATTATAGAACAAGTCCTTTGAAATGTCACTGCCTGCTACCAGTGAGCTGCATGAATGAGAACCTTCACAGACAATTTAAACCCCAAATTTAATTCTAGGGATGACAACTATGTTTCCCTAATTTGTAACCCAATAACTAGTAGTAGTTGGACACATTCAGCTAGGTTTGTTGAAACAATGTTTATTCAGCATTATAGAACAAGTCCAGTTAAATGTCACTGACTACTACCAGCGAGCTGCATTAATGAGAACCTTCACAGACAATTTAAACCCAACATTTAATTCTAGGGATGACAACTATCTTTCTCTAATGTGTAACCCAATAACTAGTAGTAGCTAGATACATTCAACTAGGCTTGTTGAGACAATGTTTTTTGAGCACTACAGAACAAAACCAGTTAAATGTCACTGATTACTACCAGTGAGCTGCATAAATGAAAATCTTCACAGACATGTTCATTCTTAGGGCTTACAACTGACTACCCCTAAAATGTGAAACCCTTTAAATCCCAATCTAAGCCCCCATTGTGTGACTAAGCGCCCATCATCACTCTTATATCTAAGGCTAATGATTTGGGCTGCTGATACCCCGAGGTTGTGCAGCTTACCCAGACAGAACCTGTACCTCTCCCTATAGCCCCCCAAAAGAGTCAGAGAAGTCCTGCTGGCAAGGTAAGGCAACAACACATCGCTATCAAAGCATGCAAGGCTTGCTTTTGTGTGTCATTTTATTGGCGTGCATTCTTACTGACTCTATTCTCTACAAAACCGACCCCAGAGTTTTAAAAGGGAAAAAAAGGGGAAGGATTGTCTTAAGGCATCCATTGGTCGCTGGTATTTCACGGCCAATTTCAGTGCTAAAACACGTGATCTCGCCTTTTCTAACAAAGTTTTGTTGGGGGAAATCTAAAGGCCCTCCATAAACCTTATATGCTTATAAAACAGCATATAAAATTTTTACCAGCGGTGCGCTAGATTGCAGAGCCTGTGACAGGCATGGCTGTGTTCATACGTACTGGAGCTATTGGCTTTGTCTTCAGTGTTGCCGGATGAGGAGCTGCTGTGGCTGCTGCTGCTGCTCTCCGTCCTCCGCTCCTTCTCCTCCGTCTCCCTGCACGGCTCCGAACTTGAAGTTGCGGCCGACGGTCCGGGAAGTTTGTCGCAGCTTTTGTCGCCGGGATAGTCCGAGTTCTGGTTGTCTGTGCTGCCATAGGCTGTCTCAAAGAACTGATCAAAGGCTTGTGGCAGCACCCCATTCCTGCCCACTGTGCTATAGAAATTGGAGGAGACGTTGGCATTGGGGTGGTAGACATTGGAGGCGTTCTTGCCGAACATGTCCCCCATGCTGGCAGGGTTGGAGGCAGGGAGGCAGTCTCTGTGCATAATGTCATCTGCTGAATAGCAGTGGGCCAGATTGCTCCTGGGGTGCCACTTACTGGAGGTGTCAATGGCATACTCCCTGAAGGTAACCTCTCTGACAGGCTGCACCTGGGGGAGGTTGGAAGAATAGGAATAGGGCATGGGACGAGAAGAAGGGGTTTGGGGGAGAAAGGAAGGAAGGCTGGAGAAATCTGGACCCGAGACGTAGTAAGTGCAACTTGGCAAATACATGTTAGAGGAGCAAGGAACACGCTCATCAAAATCCATCATTAGGCTACCTCGGGCTGTCCGCAT